ATGAGGGTGCAGCCGACTGTCACCCCGTCGGTGGACGAGGATGACCAGGCGGTGGGCCTGCACATAGGAGGGGGTGGCACATCCTATGACTCATTGGACCATGGGGAGGTGGCGATAGCGACAGCAGGGGGTTCCACTTGCACTGCCTCTGGCTCTACCTCATCGGGAGTATACTTGCGCGGGCCCTTGCAGCTCCCGGCGCGGCCGATCCCACTTCACCGGTGCCCGATGATTCGACCCAGCGACGACAAGTAAGTATTATTTCACTACTATTTCATATGACATGTTGAAAATCGAACTGGAGATTAACAATTCTTCTTAATGACTCCTGCAGCAACCGGGAAGTTGTGTCCGGAATGGGCCGGCACATCAATGGCACCCTGGGCCTTCTGATTCGGTAGCACTACCCTGGCATGGTAACCTATGCCTCGGTGACTTCGCCGCCCTGGACGTGGGACCACTTCTATGCCGCCGAGGACAGCGAGTTCAGCGCCAACGTTCTGGGTGAGTCTTCATCGCACTAAATTGGTCAATACTACACATTCATTGGTCGTTCTTGAAATAATGAAACGATACATGATGTCTGTATGCAGGACTTCTTCAGGTGCGATGAAGGGTTTGAGGACCGGGTGGCGCGAGTGCAGGACAAGGTCTGTAGGTCCCGACTCTCGGACTTGTACCACGAGACGCGGCTCCAGTGCATCATCAACTACAGCGCCAACGTCCTTGGTCAGGTGGTGAGGAAGGCCGATGCCAGGACCAGGACGCTCACCAAGGAGCAGTACCTCTCGGTAAGTACGAAACATTAATACTGACTCCTTCCATGAAGAATAGGTAGGCTTCATTTCATCTTCTGACATATCAATAACTTGATGGCATGCAGCAATGTCCTAATTGGAGCGCTAGGCACCGCCTCTGCTGGGAGGCCATTGTGGACAGGTGGCTCTCGGAGGAGTGGGCGGAGAAGCACAACATCCGTCGGGACTGCCGCCTGCAGATGGGTGGGGCGCCACACCACCAAGGCAACCGGAGCCTCAGCGCGTACGCCCAGACATGGGTAATCTTTGTGTTTTCATATTTATTTATTTATTCTAACGCTCAATTCTCATTACTTGTAATCATCTTTGTGCTTTCCTCGCAGTCCTAGGCGCACCAAGGCCAGGAATGCAATGAGTTCATGGTGTACGCCCTGGCACACAAGGGCAAGGCGATGGCCCCGGAAGTCACCTACAACCCGGCGGACGGGCCTGAGGCGTACACCAACGCGAGCGTCCACAGCAAGCTTAGCGGGTACACCTCGGCGGCCCGCGAGCGCCATGGGGAGGACTTCGATCCGGCCACCCAGCCCCTGGACACAGACCTCCTGATGAGGCTGGGAGGAGGGAAGCAGCACGGCCGGTACTGGATGGCGGACAGCACAGTCGACTCTGCCTCTGTTCCCATCCTCGCCGAGATTCGAGCAAGGAGCACGAGCTCCTCCCTCCCCATACGCTCTCGGCAGCAGAGCTCACAGCAGCAGATGGCGGAACTCCAGGTTAGTACTGTTTTATTCGTTGTTCATTGCTTTTACACATCTACCTTGCCTTTACATTGTTTAAACATTGCGGGTGGAATGTTGCAGGCCAACTTGTGGAGGTTGGAGGCCCAGCAGGCGGCCCAGGCGGAGGCCCATCGGCTGGAGATGGAGGCTGTACAAGCCCAGAGGGCAGCCGAGGCGCAGAGGCTGCAGGACATGTTCAGCTTCATGGCGAGCCTTCAGGCCTTGCCAGGTGTGGTCGTGCCCCAGTCGCTGCTCGCTCCAGTTGTGGCTCCTCCTGTAGGGACTCCGGTGAGTATATATGGTTGTTTATTCCTTTAGCTTGTACGGCCCTCCTGTAGATACTCATGAATTCGCTTCTCCTTTGTGTAGCCACAGTCGGCGGGTTCGAACCCGACTCCTCAAGGTGGCCCTTCTCCACAGGCCGGGTGGTCAACTGGCCCTCCTCAAGGTGGCAGTTTACACTCCGGGTGAGGAGGCTGCTAGTAGGTACCGTTTATTTGTTTCTTTTTATGTTGCATGGACTTATGACTTAGCCTTATGTTGGACTACTACTAGAGACATATATATATATATATATATATTGTGATGGATATTGTCATGGATGATGCAAATGTATGTGATGGATTATGGACAATGGATTTGTATGTGATGTATTATGGATGGTGGATGTGTATGTGATGGAATATTGATGTGTATGTGATATATCCTGTGTTGTGTGTTGATATATATGTGATTTCTTTGTTTGTGCTGATGGAAAGCAAAAACAAAAAAAATAGCATTTTTCTCCTCTTTGCCGAGTGCCACACTCGGCTAAGAGGGCTTTGCCGAGTGCCGTGACCATAGCACTCGGCAAAGCCGGGAAGCAGAGACCCAATTTTCTAGCTTTGCCGAGTGCCAGAGCCATGGCACTCGGCAAAGATTTTTTTTTTAAAAGAAAAAAATTCTTTGTCGAGTGCAAGAGTATGGCACTCGGCAAAGAATTTTCAAAAAAAAAGAAAAAAAAATCTTTGCCGAGTGCCGCTGAGGTGGCACTCGGCAAAGAGGCCGTTAGAGTTGACGTCGGATTTTTTTTTGCCGAGTGCTGACGTGACACTCGGCGACAAAGGCTTTACTGCGTGCCCGATATGTGGCACTCGGCAAAGAAACCTTTGCCGACGAGTTCTTTGCCGACTGCTCTTTGCCGAGTGCGGCACTCGGCAAAGCCTTTGCCGAGTGCAATAGGGGCTTAGAGCCCGTCTGCAGTAGTGCGTCGAACACGGCCTGAGCGCCCTGGTCGCCGCCGCCTTCTTCACCTGCCAGCCCGAGGGTGGCACCGGCGGCCGCCGCCACGTCCTCCGCCAGCCAAGGACATCGCCGGCGTCCTAGCTATCTAGCTGCAGAATGGCCGCCACTGCGAGTACGTACGTGCCACAAACGTACAGGCTACGACGACGACGACGTACGTGTACGTACGCACTTTATCAGCACGATGATGATACGTATATACAGCCATGGTGTATGTGTACCTATGCACACGTACGCAAGCGACAACATAACGATGTCCCAAGACTACGAATCTCGTGTGTGTGTGTGTGTGTATACTGCGGTTTGTGATTGATCATGGTGAATTATATTAGCCTGCTGTATTTGATGGAGTGCATAAAATAACTCTTACAGTTACTGCATGCGTGTACTACGTAGTTAACCTGTGATCACCGAGAAATGAAATAAATGTCGTCCCAGTTTATCAGTAGCCTGTTTGAACTATCCCTTCTGTCTCTAAACAGATTAATTCCTAAAGTTGTCTTTAAGTCAAATTTTTTAAAGCTTTATCAAATTTATAGAAAAAGCGCTAAAATTTATGAAACTAAATCAATAACATTAAATACAATATAAAATAGTTTTTTATAACGTGCTCATTTTGTGTCATAAATATTTATGTTCTTTTCTATAAATTCGGTTAAATATAAAAAATGACTTAAGCAAACTCTATAAATTGATTTTTTTTCAGGGATGGATGGCGTACGTAAACAATACATGATGATGACCTATTTGGAAAAGCTCTAACTCAAAGATTGTATGCAGGATTTAAAATTTTTTAGATAATATAAATTGGTTTAAACATATATATGTGTTTAATTAATAATCTTTTAAATAATGACACAATGACTCAACTAAGCAGTTCCACTACAATATAAGAATCTCTACAGTATAACTATCAGTTTACAGATTTTTTGTTTTCGAAGCTCTGCTTGTCAATCAGCCTCTAAGAATATGCTAATAAATTAACTGAAGGTGCAAAGAATAATGGCAATCGCTGTCACAAAGTTCTCTCGCTAGCGTGGACCCATAGATTCTTCTGCTGCTTCCTAGGTATACTAGGTGGACCCCATCTCTGTACCAGCTGACTAGTGCCGTGCCGGGCTAATTAATTTGTTATCAAGCCAGACAAATCACTAATGACAAGTCAGAGGTGCAAACACTAGTGACGCGGGAGACAATCAAAGCCTGTCTACTGTCACTGTACTCCCTCCGGTTCTCTAAAGCAAGTCGTTTTGAGGTTGTTTTAAGTCAAATATTTTAAACTTTAACTATAAATAACTTCTTTTGGGTTGAATTTGAAAAAATATGAAAGTGATGTAGGTAGATTCATCTCGAAATGTAGTTTCATAAAAGTATATATTTACTATATTTTATAAATATTTTATAGCAAAAAGTTACAGTCAAAGTCGTTTCTTAAAGACCGTATCGATGTCCAAAACAACTTGCTTTAGAGAATCGGAGGAAGTATATATATATATAGTCACCCAAGACCTTGCTAACCTTAGGGTCTGTCTGGAGCACGGGATTTTTTTTTCTGTTTCTGTATTTCTTCTTTGAAATTAAACCGAATCATGTGAAATTCCTATAAAGATCTTGTGAAATTCCTGCATTCCAAGTAGATGACCCTAAAAATGACGAGTAATGGAAAAAGCATGTTACTTTCCACTTGAAAATAGCCACGGTTTTCAACGTGGTCCGCTAGTCACTTTTTGTTTGTCAATGGTGTCATGACTTTCGAGGGATTGAGTTATTAGGTCTCAAGATTGGCGTCATTTTTTTTGAAAGGTCCGGTTAGATTAGCGAGTCATCACAGCCGCATCGCCACCTACCGTAAAATGAATAGCATTGTTTACTCGAATAAATCTAGGAGAGAGTTGAGTGCCCGTGCTAAACCTAGGACTTCATCCCGGAGATGTTTCATCACAAAAAAATCTAATGAATTGAGGTTTACCCTCACATTACAATGTAAGCTAATAAATTAACCAAAATGTATGAGTTATGGATACCTTTTCGCTCACAAGAAATTGGGAAAGTGGATTAAAATATTAAGAGTACAACAAAGACCAACCACATAGTTCGTAGCTAGTTGGGTACTTGTAGCAGCCGCAGACTCGTTGGAAACATAATAATAGCCAGCTAGCGTCCAGCGAGGTGTCTGTTAGCTGGTGCGGCCCACGGCCCTGAGGAATGAGCCGCTCTTGGTGATCTCGCGCAGGGGCTTGTCGGTGAAGCGGACCAGGTTGTAGGCCCACGCGCCCGTCACCGTCCCGCACAGCGGCCCAACCATGTAGACCCAGATGCTTCTGTACCGGCCTGCCACGATCGCCGGGCCCAAGGTCCGCGCCGGGTTCATCGATGCCCCTGTGATGGGCCTGTGGGCCAAATCGGAAGTCAAATAAGAACATGGGCCCAGTTCAATGAATTTGGAGGCAATCTCGTGGCTGCGCTGTGTGGTGTAAGGGATGAAAACGGTCGGAAACGGTCGAAAAACTCCTAAATTATTTTCTACTTTTACATTTGAAATACGAAAACGAAAGCGAAAACGATAAAACCGGACACAAAAACGAACGTGAACTTTCGAATTATCGAGAATTTTGAAAACGAACCAATTCGAGCGGATTTATGTCGAACACGGACGATATACGAAAACTCAATACGGAATACCGACCCGTAGACCAAGTGTATGACTAAGTGCATACATGATCAAGTTCAAGTGCATATAATAATTAACAAGTGCATGTTATAGAAACATGAACTCGAACTGAGTCAGAATAATTTTATTAATCTTTTTAGAATAGATGTAGTATTTTATTTTAAAGATTTATTCAGATTTTTCTTTTGAGTAACAAAGATTTATTCGGCTGATGCAAAAACTATCAAATGATTGACTTTGCAGGTGGGGGTTAAACCGATAAGCTTGATGGACTATGGCCCAGGTGGGCTTTCGTGTAGATGTTGCCGGTTTCCTGACATTTAGCACCATCTCATGAGGTGAAGAGAGATGAGGCTGGACACCGTCTATAAGAGAGAGCAACTGACCACTAGTAGAAAGAACGCAGCTGCGTGGTGAACAACCTATAATTAGGCTGTATGACGTGTGCAGTTGGCCAAATTTGGTTTAAACCGAATTTTCAATTCGGAATATTTGAAATTAAAAGTAGAAAAGTAGAAAACGGTCGAAAAATGTCTAAACCGTTTTCTACTTTTACATTTGAAATACGAAACATCTGAAATGCGAAAGCGAAAACGGTAAAGTCGGACAAGAAAATACGGATTCGATCGGATTAAATATAGAAAACGATTCGGTTCGGTTCGGTTGGAGATATTTCTGTTCCGTTTTCATCCTACTGCTTACCCGGCGAAGAGCACGTTGAGCAGGACGGTGGCGCCGACGGCGAGCCCAGCGAGTTCACCGATCTGCGTCAAAGCGCCAAGACATCAGCTGCTTCACACCCTGCCCAGTGCCCAGCGAGCTTGCCTAGCTAGAAGAATGCATGGAACTGATCGGCGATGGTTAATTCTTGGTTACCGCTCTGTTGTCGGTGGCGACGCCGGAGACGACGAACATGAGGTAGAAGGAGATGACGAACTCGAGCACCACCGCCTGCGCGTCCGTCCCCGACGGCGCCGTCCCGAAGAAGTGGTCGTGCGCCGTGGCGCCGCCGAACACCACGCGCAGCGTCAGGCTGGCCAGCGTGGACCCCAGCACCTGGGCCACCGCGTACGACGGCACCTGCATTGTGCATGCATCATGCGTGCACGCAGAAGCAGATTATAAGGACGCCGGATTTGTTTGTGCTAGTTTGAAACTGGTGCAGTGGTTCCATTCAGAATTTCAGATCGCCGATCGATAAGATGCCGCTACGTAGCGTAGCCTCTGATGGACTGACCTGCTTCCAGGGGAAGCGTCCACACGTGGCGAAGGCGACGGTGACGGCGGGGTTGAAGTGCGCGCCGGAGATGTGGCCGACGGAGTAGACCAGCACCATGACGACCAGGCCCCACACGGCGCAGATGCCCGGGAACGTCACCGTGCCGTTGGTGCTCAGGTTCACCACCACGGAGCCGCAGCCCGCGAAGATCATGAAGTAGGTCCCCAGCACCTCCGCGAAAATCTGCTTTAATTTCATCAGTTCATTCATTATTCCACGTACGCGTCCATGCAGTGCAGTGCGGGTTAATTTGCGTCAATCAAAGTATCAAACAACAGCAAATGCATGACATTACTGATGGAGTGATGGTACTGAACACTGAAAGCAGTAATCTTGCATTGGCCTAGTACATTCCAGCACGTATGTTGGACTGTATATAGTTACGAGCATCACGAGCAAGAGCAATGGTTAAGACCTCGTGGCAGCTAGTCGAATGAATTCGTGGCCGGCCGTACCTTCTGCATGAACTGCACGGAGATCATGTCGTCGTTGCATCTGTTGCTGCCACTGCCACTGCCACTGCCAGCAGGGCTTCCATCTTCCGAGCTCTGATACCCTGCCTGCCCTTCTTCCATGGCCCCGGCGGCGCTCCCTCTCCCTGACATCTCCTCCCCTACCTCGCCGGCATCCTTAGCCCTTTTTATTTCAGCACTGTATAATAATTGTATTACTACTAGTAAACTAGTGCTAGTATTTAATCGGAGAATGGCGGTGCACGCCTGCTAACACGCACGAAATCTTCTCGGACTGACCACCAACTCTCTGTCTGCCTGTATCGTGTGCCCAAAAAGATACCAACCGAACTAACAGGGGATATACACGAATTGTTTACTGCAGCAGGATTCGCGCAGTGTACTACCGTTTTTCTCACCTAACTGAGCTCATCCCAAGGCCAAACATTTTGAGAGTTTCATTCAGCCTGAAGTTTCACTGTCCTAGCCTCTTCAGTGAGACTGACAGATCCCTTCTGATTCTGACGTGTCGTCACTGGAATAACGTGCTGTGCTTTGGCCAGCCAGAGTAACTACCGTGCAAGCCTACGGGTTTCCCTGATGCTCGTAGTGCACCGCAAGTCTGGACCAGAATCTTTTCTTTTCAATAACAAAAAAAGAAGGGTCTAGGCCAGCATCACCACGCGTGCACGTCGCTCTCACCTGTCTAGCCAAGAGCAAGCAGGCTTGCTCACTCGCACACGGCCGGCTGAATTCCCGCGCAAGTTTGGCAACCAACTCTCCTTCTCTGTGTGCCTCCGGACCAGGGGTTGGTGACCAGGGCAGCTAGAGCTAGCTATCAGGACGTGCATTTGATCGGGTCAAACAATCACAGCAAATCCGTGGTGTGGTGTGTAACAGCGCGTGGTCCGATCGTTTACCTTTACCAGCCAGCAGCAGCGGCACGTAAGTGTCACTATCAGCTCAGCTCATCCCGCGACAGGCCACCACTTGGTCCTCGAGACGGCAACGGCAGCGAGCGAGCGTGTGTGGTGGCCTTGAACGCGTCGTCCCTCGTCCGGGTCCGGCCGCACGAGAGCAGGAAGTCCGGGGAAACGGGGATGGCGTCAGGACGGGGGGCGATTGCCGACCGCGGGGAGAGCCGCCATCACACAGTCGCTGACCCGGTACCATCGGTTCAGTTACTCCAGGCAGCGACGGGCCGACGGCGAACGCACCGCATGCACCAGCGGGAATAGTCAGGCAGGCAGGCAGGAGAGGGGGCAGACCGGGCACCCCTTTGTGAGTCACCGCCCCGGCGGCGGCCGACAGGCGGCAGTGCCCAGCGTCCCTGTTTGGCAACCACGCGGCACGCGGCGCCGTCTGTCGCCATCCCTGGGGTCGTCGCGGCCCGCATCGCCAGCACCGTCGCCCGCTGACCACGGCAAGCAGAAGCAGCGCGCGGCGCCACGCGACCAGGCTCCGGTGGTCAAACAGCGAGCGTTGTGCCCGTGCGCACTGCCGACTGCGGTCAGCGCGCGGAAGTGCGTGCAACAATCGTGGCATGCAGTGGCAGAAACACAAATGCCCCCGCTGGGCTATAAAACCTTCCCAGATCATTTCTGAATGATTTTCTGACATTCGGCCCATTGATTGATTTCTGAGCTAGTTTGGGCTAGCTGGTGCTAATTTGTTGTGAGAAAAAAACACTATTAGCTAACTGGTTTGGACTGACTAAAACCAACAAACAAACATGCTACAGTGTCACAACAACAGCACAGGGAGCTTATGCAACAGCCAACTTGAGACCGTCAGCTAGCTGAATACGGCTCCGGGCTACATTTTGAGCTAATTTTGCCCGAACCTATGAGTCTTTCACCTCTACTGCTCTCTCCATGCATAAATAACACCACAATTATCATCACAAGAAGTGAATCTATCCAGGAGCCACATGATCGGCCTCCATCAGGAACTAAACAATAACAAGTACACTAAAAACAACAGCAGCAATTCCTCGTGTTAGCGGTGTTAAGCATCAGCATCAGTGCCCGCCACCTGCCCTAGAGCTTCAGCGTCAGCTCCAGGTCGTCTGACCCCGAGTCCTCGTGGATCCGCTCGCCTTCCCACGCCCTCACCAGCCCAGCAGCCTGCTGAGCGCCGTTCGTGCTGCTACCGAACGCAAACTCATCGGAGGCCACATCCATCATGTGAACGTCTGAGTGCCGGGGCATGCCCGGGATCGCGGGGGAGCAAGTGCCGCTCTGCCCTGGCGTGCACATTCTCGACGACGAATTGCCGACCGGGATAGACTCTTTGAAGACGCTGAACGGATTGGTGGACACGAGGCTGAAGGTCGGGGAATTTGGGCTGGTCGATGATATTTGGATGCCGGCAAGCCATGCCGGGTCAGGAGCAATGGACCGCCCAGGGCTGGGCGGGGTGGAGTTCACTATTGTGGGGCTGTTTGCACCGTGCCATGGAGGCTGGATAGTTGCTTCGTCCCAGTCTGTCTTCATCCGAGGTGTTCGGGCTGATGGTGAGCTTAGAGGAGGGGTTACTGGAGCACTGATTGAGCCACCGTGGATCAACAGTGGTGGGAGAAGCGGGTGTTTCTTTGACGGAGTACCATTGGAGAATGTCTTAAGCCATGGTAGGATTGGATTGCCATCGATACCACCATTGACCATTTCGTTGGGAGGAAGGAAGGGGGAAGATGCACCGCTGGGGAATGAGGAAGAAGTAGGGCTTGCATTGTATGATGCTCGTGGACTGACTTGGTATGATGAACATGGGCTTGGTGACACGGAGCAACCGATATGATCCATGCGTTCCATGGGCTTGCTTCCCTGTGGGAGAAAAGGAAGACACGATTAGTTGCGTTGTCACTAGAACCATTCGATTAACTAACAACAGAACCAATCTCCTAGAACTACTAGCAGAAATCCATGAATCTGTTATCATCAGCTATGTCCATTGCGTTATATGGGAACCAAAAAGCTCTTAATCTGTAAGTCAGAACAACATAGTTGAGAATGGCAAATCTATACTATCTATAATAAAGTAGTACCCAAAACAGTTCAGTCAACGATCACACGTGCAACAGCTTGTGCAAGGCTCACACTGCAAATCATATTTTCCAGTCTCCTTAGCTGGAAGAGCATTAATACACGAGTGCCAAGCAAGTAAGAGATGCTCAACATTATGCCTCAGGACAGTCCACACACGACACACGACACAACATAAAGCAATGGAGCGGGCAATGGCAACTTGTTCTTGCATAGAATTGATTATCTGGTGCATATCAATGCAAGAGCAGCCCCAACAACCAATCAACCAATTCGGTACCGAAACTAAACTCAGCAGATCGTCCTGATGATCCGACGGGCGGAACAGGGCTGCAGGACCAACAGCAAAATGCTGTAACATGAGCGCTGCTGGGTCGGAGCAGTAGCAGAACTGGATGCCAGACTCCTTTCCAATTCCTGGAGAATCTAACAAGCACCATCTCATCTCCGGCAAAATTTGCAGCTACGCGAAGGGGATTCTCCACGAACGGCGTCAATCACTCCACCCACCGCACACCACCCGTGCGCGGTCCAGGCTGGCATCCCGTACCTTTTGCTCATCGTCCACGTGCAGCACCCACCCACCAAAAAAATGGAGGAGAAAAAATGAACAGCTAGCTAGCTACACACAGTTCACACCACCGTACAGCAGGCACCCAACCCGGCCACGGCGCACGCTGAGATGCGCCAGCTTCGGGATCGATTGAGTGGGGGAATCGAGAAGGGGAGGTCGCGAATCGGCGTGGGCTGTGGCTCGAGTACTGCGGGGACGACGGGGAGAGACGAGATCTGCCGGCGCGGCGAGCTGGGGGGAAGGACCAAGGAGCAGCGGCGGCGGCGGCTTTACCTTGCGGTAGGTGGTGCCGTCGGGCTCGACGACCCATCCGGCCTCGTTGCAGAGCGCCTTGAGCACCTCGTTGTTGTCGCAGTGCTTGGGCAGCTTGTACCCGCCGTGCGCGCGGAGGCCCGTGAAGATCTTGGCAGCGATCGCGCGGCGACGGCGCTCCCGGCGCTTGTTGTTCTCGCGCTCCCTCCACGTGGGCATCCGTCCCCCCGCGCCCGCCGCGCCCAGGCCGCCCCCGCCGGCACCACTCGCCATGCGACGCCCGCGCGAGCCGCGCTCAGCTCGGCTCGGCTCAAGGAGGGAGGAGGGGACAGGAGAGGGAGACCGGCCGGACCGCGTGCTCGTCTGGGTGCGGAGGAGGTAGGGAGGGAGCGAGCGAGCAAGGGAGGGAGGGGGCAGAAGCCGGAAGCGTGAGGCGAGAAGAGATCCCACGGAAAAGGCAACACGCCGCGCGAGGCGAGCGAGGGAGACGGGGGTGGTGGGTGGGTGGGACTGGGGCTGGGGGTGAGGGGAGCAGTGGCGTGAGCCTTGAAAGGCTCTCCGGTCCGGAGAGGCAGACGACAACGCCCCTCGACTTCCGGCATATCTCCGCGCATACCACTGCCAGTGCCAGCGCGCGTGGCCGTGCGGCCCGTGCGGTAGGCGTGCGCCTGAAGCGATGCCCTCCGGTTCCACGGCGGGATCCGGGGGCAGAATGGGGAAACGGCCCTACCAGCACCAGACGGCGGCAGGCCACGAAGCGTGTCTCCGCCGCGCGGCTCGGTCCACGTCGAGCGGCGCTGCACGTGGGCGCCAGTGGGATGCGGGGCCCACATGGCAGCAGGAGGGGGCCGCACGGCGTGGGGGAGCAGTACGACCGAGCTGGCCCACCGCGGGGAGAGAGGGGAAGGACGACGGAGGGGGACACGTGAGCGGGCCCACCGTTCGCTTTTACAGATCACGCCTTTATTTTCGTCTGTTTTTCTTTGCCATATAAAAAAATACGTAGATTTTTGCTATAAATCTCTCTCTCTCTCATCAGTCACCCAGCGTCCTATTTTACTCCAAGAAATATAATCTCGTCTCGGCGTGCGGGGAGGCGCGGGCAGGGCGGCAGGCAGCGGCGGCCGCATGCCTGAACAGCAAGCGAGCGCGCGGGGCTGGGCGGAGCGCGAGGACGAGGCCCCTCTGGCGGTCGACACGTGGGGGGGCGGGCGGGTCCCGGCGAGCAGCGACGGCAGAGGGCGTTTGGGCGTGTGGGAACGGGGGCTACCAGGGTGAACGGCGTGTGCGGCGCGGGAGGCGATTTCTTCTACGCGCACCAAACGCAACGTGGAATGTCATAAAGGTCAGTCGTGGTGGTATTTATAATAATCCCAATAGATCGAAAACAATCTCTGAACTTGACTCCGGCACTCAGTGCACGAACGTGTGCCTTAGCAAAAGTGCATCTAATACAACATGTGTAAAAAAAGAGGAGTGTTTGCTGCTAAAAAATACTATTAGTAATACTACTTTTTTTTGTACTAACAGTAGAAGTGAAAATCGACCAAATGACAACAGAGCTTGAACCCGGCAGTGCTGCTAGAGTGGTCTTGGTACGCTCAGTCTAGCGCTGCTGTGGGGACCTGGGTCTTGGGCTCGGCTGGTGCCTGGTGGGCCGTAGAAGTAGATCCGTAGTACTACGCACCCACGCGCACTGTGCCCTTGTCGCGGAACAGCGCGGCACTGTTGGTATCTCTTCAGCGTGCGCGGGACCCACTGGGCCACTCCAATCGCGCTACGCTGGGGGGTGGGGTCAGAGTGGGTGGGTGACGACTGACGCCACGCCAGGAGGCGACAAACGCGGTTACGGGCGTGCGGAGCCGGGGCCGTGGGGACTGGTGGGTCACTGGGCTCGCAGCGCAGCGGCAGCATGCACGTGAGCGGCGGGGGCCGTCCCCATCCCATCGGCTCCGGTTCCGGTCCTGGTCCCGGTCCCGGTCAGGCCGGCGCACGGAGCCAGGCGGACGCCGCGGCGGCAGAGCACTGCTGGCTGCCAACGTGCTGCGTGTGCTGCCACCACGTGATCACAGAAATCTAAGGCCCCACGTCGTCCTCAGGGCTCATCCTCATCCTCTGCGGCTCGCCCTTCCTGTGGCTGTGGCCTGCCCTACCGAGGACTAGTAGGACTGTTTGAGCTCAGAGAGCCAGAGCTGAGACCCGAGAGAGACGACTGGCACTCCCTCCCTGCGGCCCTGCCCGTGCTGTTTAATTACTGGCTAATTAGATTTAAAAAATTGTTGTGTAAATCGTCTAAACTATGTAACGCCACGCCGGTCATTTATATTTGGCCTCCCCGCCAGTCCAGCGCCGTGGCAAAAAAATCGCTGCTGCGCGGCCTGCGGCGAGATGCCCTCCCTCGACCAGTGCGCAGCGCACTCCTACGGGCAGGGCTGCTGCTGCCACAGCATGCCATTGTAGCAGAAAGCCAGAGACCAGAGCACTGGTCGGGTCAGCTCCGTGAACGGATCCCCGGATCGATTTTGAATTGGGCCGTGGCGCAGATGTTTGGAATCGCGGCCTGCGTAGTATTTTCCTCCCTCGACCAGTGCGCATCGCATTTAACGGGCAAAAGGGCTGCTGCAGCCACAGCATGCCACCGTATAAGAAGCTTTTTTTAATCCCAGAGCACTGCACGGGCGCCAGCTCCGTGAACGGATCTCCGGGATCGATTTTGAATTGTTTTTTTTTTCCTACTACCTCCGTACCTGTACTCGTACTCATGTTACGGCCCACGGAATGGAGTCCGCGTACCACCACCGGTATTAGTTCAGTCAGTCAGTCCCCGGTCAGTGATACCCTGTTGGACCTGGACGTCGCCCTCGTCAGCTGGGGATAGAAACTGGCCGGTCTGAAAACGAGCTGCTCCGCTCATCCAGCATCCACGCCAAGCAAGCACCACCAGGCACCAGTATATTGAATGAGCCAGGCCATGCATACTCGCGGAATGGAGTGTGGAAAGCATCCACGCGGGGAGAAAAATAAATAAAAGAGGGTAGAAAAGCTTGAAAGTGACGGTGCATTAGCCTGGGAAAGGGCGTCAAACTTTCCATTGTTTCGTTTACTACTCCTAGTATATTGACCAGTTCCTACCACGACACCACACGGGGTGGGGGCTCCATGCCAAATGGAGCTGCTGGAGCACGCCGACGGCGGTGCTCCCAAATACTCGTATAAAAACAATTTAATCAGCTCAGCCACACGCATTGCCTGCCGGCTAACCAAAAGTGTTTTCACTAGTACTGTACTACGGAGTAGTTTTTGTTTTTATTACAGATACAGGCAGTATAAACAAACAACAAGCAAACGTTGAGGTAACTAATACAGATCGTGACAGAACACTCCTGCTAAATTTCTATTGTACTACCTGCAGGTCGGTAAACAACGTCACGTGGAGATCAGAGAGATGCTGGAGTCTGGATGACCTGGGGCCCCGCCCGCGGTGGTGATTGCTGATTGGTGAAACACTGAACCTTATCCCTACATGCTTCATCAGGGGAATATGCCTCTGCACTGGCGCGTGCCAATCAATCACTCACTTCGATTCCTGACACCAAAAGAGTACCAGTAACACGAGGAAACATCGTATAAGCCTATTCGCGTGGTTGCCTGATAAGTCTAGCGGGTCCTGGTTTATGGTAAGAGAAAAACGTTATGGACTGAGTGATAAGCTCTTGAAACCAACAAACGAAAGGCTGGATATCTACTCCATATCCATGTTGGAGGTTCCTTGAGAGTTGAGATACGATCTCTACGCCGTGGACCGTACAGTAGACATCAAATACTGAAAAATACCAACAGCACGGCAGCGTTAAGGCCCCACTTGGTATGCGAAAAAGTTTTACAGTATGTAAAATCAAATTGATCCCCAAAAAAATTCTTGCATGATTTCTACAAAACTATTGTGTTCCAAATGGGGTCGTAAGACTTGCGTACTCCTGATAGTATAATAACTATACTGTATACAAGATTCTCAAACCCAAAAAAAAAACTATACTGTATACAAGAAAATGAAGAACGAGTCACGTCAAATATTAGGACACAGTGTTCTTTTTTTTTCCTTCTGTCGTGTATAAAGTCACCGAAACAATAAAATAGGCACGGTGACTTCCAACAGCAAGTAACGTTAAACAAGAATTATCATCGTCGATAAATAATTGTTGTCAAATATGTGATGCTTGAGAGACAAGGAACTTGACAAACACGCTGATCATCATCTACTAAGGGGAATGAACTAGTTATGTCATCAAATTGTTCCATCTTGAGGTCGACGTCAACGACCAGGGTTCCTATACATCGTTAGGCAATTCAATGCAGATATAGCGAGGTTGTCGGGGCATCAAGCAAACATGAGACCTGATGCTTATCCAAGATTGCTGGACGTTAGCTGTGTCTTCAGTCTTCACTCCTCACGTCCTCGGAACCCGGAGGCCAGATGCCAACTGACTGATGTGAGATCTCACAGCTTAACAGCGCTGCCAAAACAAACCAAAATGGACAATTTAGTGCCACGTAATAAGTAAAAGCTCAAGGGTAAATTTCTGTATGTATCTCCTATTTGTTTGATTAAACCTGAATTCATGAAATTTGAATGAGATGGAGGCAGGAAACAATAACAGTACTACATTGTATGAATAAGAAAAGGCTACAGGGCGACATGCATCTTATGTCTCTACATCCTCTATACTTCGTCTTCATATAGTTGCACAAAAGAAAACAAGAATCAGCTAAAAAATCACTGGGGCTCACCACTCTAACCTTGACAGGGAGTGATTGCGATTGCAATGTCAAACATGGGACTCAACCATTTCCTCCAAATAAATGCTGACAGAACTCTATTAGAACTCGAAGGACAAGAAAACTGGCAGAGTTCTGCTCTGGATGTACAGTAATTAACTGCTAAGATTTATGGTGTCCTTTAGCAGCTTGCAGACACTGGCTTTTAACTCAGCAGTAACCTGGAGTTGCTGCTCGCAAGCATCCAGTACAAACAAAGAAATAACTCTCATGGTATCTGATAGAATCACTTTATTATGCCTAGCCACTTCCTGGTTCACAAACTTGCACGAACTTCTGAGTTTACAATTGCTGCATATCTGAAATGGGGACAAGATTAAAAAGTTAGCCTTGAGCATAAGAGCACCTTTTGTTTTTCTCCAAATATTATGTGTTATGACGTAAGCCAACTACCCCACCATGCAACTATGTAAACTTACTTTTTCTTCCTGGAGGTTGAAGAAGGCTCTTAATCTTTTTGATGCGAAGACCGTTCTTCGCTCAACAGTGGGACACCCAAATAAGGCAACCTTCTTCAAATCACTCCCTGACAGCCATCTGCCAGCAATAGAAAAATATTCAATAGCACACATATTTAGTGACAAGCAATAGTTTTGAGATTTCCTTTCTTTTTCACTTTAGCTGATTGAAAATACTATGTTCATACGAACCCATACCCAGCTACAAAAACCTGGCCAGTCACATTGCAGAATTTCAATCCTTATGCAACTTTTCAAATCTAAGATGGGAATTTATTATTTACCAAGATCTGTTTTGCCCCAAGAATCATGACTTGGCAGTATCCAAAGGATCATAGATTCAATGAAGCAGTTTATATAATACAGATGTATTATAAATAATTTGCTTAATAATTCATCCTGTACAATACAAATAAATTAGGGAAGCTTCAACCACATGGAACTAAGAAGTGTAATAATCAGTTTTATGAAGAAGAAACATGAACGTCTTCCAGGATACAAATGTTCAATAGAAGACAGATTTGGTGACACAATAGTTCTGTGACTTCCTTTCTCTTTCACTTTAGCTAATAGAGATTGTTAAGTTCATACAAAAGAAACACTTACATACCATGTTGTCACCGTCCTACTAGTCCGATCCAAAAACTGAAGTACAGATGCAACAATAGAAGTGTCTAGAAGCTACTAGAATGATCTGGATACAAGTTTTGGAACGGGGAAGAAGGGAAAAGGGTAGAATCGAGCAAAGCTCGCCTCGAGCCGCAGCCCGCTGTTCTTCGAGTTCTGGTCCTTCGACACTCCTTGCGGTGATGGTGGTAGTCCTTTTATGTTGGCTTGCTTTCCTCCTTGGAATACTGAGGAGCCCAGTCCTTATCTTCTCTCGGTCCAGGTCCAGCCCATGTCCCTTGATCGGCCCAGCCCACGGTATCTCTACTAGTATCATGACATACTCCCCTCCTTGAAACACGGCTTGTCCCCAAGCCGTTGCAGCAAAACCTCTAACAAACTTCGAACCACCGGGATCCCATGTAACTCGCACACTCATAATGTTGAGAATAACTCTGCCATGGCACCAGTCATCATTGAGTTGTTTCAGATAACACAGGTATTGCCCATATTGAGACCCTTGCACTATGGCTTCATTGTCTTGCAGGAGTATTTGTTGGATGGATGCATTCAAGAAGCAAGTTGTTTCACTGCCAATGTTCTCACATGGTAATAAGAACCCAACTGCTCCAAAAATTAGAACTGTCTGTAATGCAGCATCTATTGGAATTTTTATACCACCAGCATAGGCTGCAGGTCTGCAAGAGAAATACCACAAGTCTGATGGTCAAGGGTTTAGCACCACATGGATCCCACAAAATCACTTGCCAATCCTTGATGATGCTAATCCAGAGCACGACAATCAACTTCTGATGCAACCACACTAGAAATTTCTAAAACTGAAACATACTGCTCTGACATTGTATATGAGTTGCTTGCTCACTGCTACTGAGTATGTCACTAACACATGGTGGCCATGGTTCTGGTATAGTTGGTGATGGCCATAGAGGCATCAGTAGTAAAGCAGCTCGAACATCTTCCTTAGTGTCAACCAATTCCAACAAGAGTGGTTGGTCATGCGTGAGAAATACAGAGTGCATGCCACCTGTTCTACAGGTTCTACAGGTAAAATACAGCAGCACTTTTGGCTTCACTGGCAGTACCTCACACACCAATATATATGACTGAAAATTCACAGGTAACAGCTGCAGATTAGTACCTCTGGATGCCTTCTTTAGTTGCACAGGTGGTGTCCCATTGTCGCGAAGTTCACTTCGAATTTCCTTCCAATGAATGCCAACCAGTTGCTGAATTTCACTGAAGCAAACCTGATTTAGATTGATGCTGTGAATCTGGCACCAGTCCAGTACATTTATGAGCCTCCAAGTCTGCACATATAGAGCTTTCTGTTCCTGAACATGCAAACTGAAGTACAACCTTCTCATTGCATCCAGATCTAGGAGCTGTGCAGACCACTTTAGAGATAACAGTACTAACAAAAAATGCCAACAGCCTGCTACACGAGTCAATACACATATGGAGTGAATATTAAGCCAGCACTCACACTTGTGATACTTGGAATCTGCACTCACTTCAATATAACTCAATGCATTAGCACAAGCTTTAGTTGGATAGCAACTGAAAGACGGCCAAGGCCGGAGCTCAACTTTCTGGTCTGTGACCTGCTTATGCCCATACAGTGCCCACGGTTTCAAGCATAAGACTGTCTTCTCATTTTGCCATTGCTTCTCATGAGCAAGTATCATATCCTCATTCTGCATTTGTTCCATCTGAATATCCCAATACAATGACAGGTACCATGCAGAACTGGACCAGTCCATGGTGATTTCTCTTTGCAAATTCAGAGCCATCATAGTAAACTGATTATAGGCAGCAACAAGATTGACAAATAACTCAGGCAACCAATTCAGCAAGTGCATCCCAAACTGAGCACCAGAGCAAGCAAGTAGTCCACACTAACATGCTCACTAGGGAAGCACCACACAATCCGCACACAAATCATTGCAGCTATTTGTACTCTGCATTTACTTGGATCAGCAAACAAGTTGAGAATAGATACGTCCCATATAATTGAAAACCCAGTTAAATTCCCAAGCTGCTGCAAATTTGTGTCACATGATAGGAGCATGTAACTCACTCTATGTATCAAGGAAACAGAGTGTTCAAAAGATGGCCAAGGATTTGGTCGTAGCTCAATGATACTATCCTCAACCTGGCTGCCCAAAATCTCCACTAACATAGGAGGTGGCCATGGCTGCTCTTGCCAGTCCTTAAAAACTCCAAATATTGACATTCCCAGGGCACCAAATGACAGCAGTTTCACATGCTCTACTAGCATCAGGATCCTTAGCAACTCAGATGTATTCTCCTCATGGTGAAGCGTACCCTTGATAGCAACAGCAGTCATGGAGAAAGCACACAGGCTGAGAGTTGTTACCTCGTCGCTGCCATGACCTTGCATCGAACACCTGGTGTGCATCACAGAGAGGAACTCGGTGATTGGGATGTGGACCTCGCTAACGTCACTGTCGCCCAGGGTGCGCTCGGCGCGGAGGAGCACGTGGAGGGAGCCGGCACCGGTCGCCGGGATGCGGAGCGTGGCGTTCTAGATCGGGTTACGGTCGCCGGTGCGGTCGGCTTGGACCCACTTCCGCGACAGGGGGTCGCCCGAGAGCGACAGCATGGCGTAGACTTCCATCTTGGACAGCAGGTTCACATCCTTGAGGTCCTTGGCCGAGATCAACGTCAGCTCCAACGTCCGCGTCGTCGCCATAGCCGGGAGCTTGTCACCGAAGATGTGCTTGCCGATGGGGCGGCCGAGCACCTGGTTGGAGGTGGCGCGCGAGGGCACCGTGAAGAAGAAGCCCCGACCGTAGAGGATGCTGCGCGCAGTGGCGAGGACGAAGCGGTCGATGCAGGGAGTGACGGATGCGGAGTCCTGGTCGGCCACCACGATGTACGAGGAGGCGCGGTCCGCAGACGGGTCGTGGTCCGCGAGAGACCTAGCGGCGGCCTTGGATTCGGAAGCGGAGGCAGAGGCGAGGGAGCGGAGGGTGGCGAGGACGGAGTTGTAGCCGGTGCCGGTGGTGGCGTCGACCTCACGCCCGCTGCTGTCAGAGTCGGCGACGAAGGCTGGAGGGGCGGTTCGAAAGGCCGCATTGCACGCCTCCAAATCCGACGCCATCTTCGTCACCATGACGAGGATTTGGTCCAGCATCTCCTTGCATCGTGCCTCTTGTGCGGCATCCATGGCGGAATCTGAGAGCCCACAGATCGAGAGCTCCGGTACCAGTTGTCACCGTCCTACTAGTCCGATCCAAAAACTGAAGTACAGATGCAACAAAAGAAGTGTCTAGAAGCTACTAGAATGATCTGGATACAAGTTTTGGAAGGGGGAAGGGAAAAGGGTAGAATCGAGCAAAGCTCGCCTCGAGCCGCAGCCCGCCGTTCTTCGAGTTATGGTCCTTCGACACTCCTTGCGGTGATGGTGGTAGTCCTTTTATGTTGGCTTGCTTTCCTCCTTGGAATACTGAGGAGCCCGGTCCTTATCTTCTCTCGGTCCAGGTCCAGCCCATGTCCCTTGATCGGCCCAGCCCACGGTATCTCTACTAGTATCATGACACATGTTAACTGCAAAATCCAGACCAATAAGATTGCAGGATTTTTAATACTTATCCAAGGATTCCAACTGAGGCATTGTTTGGATGTAGTCGGATTCGCATCGATCCACATGTATTGGGTTGGATTGGAGTGGAACTTGAACTAAATTCCGCACCAATCCACCCCAATACATGTGGATTGAGGTGAATCCGACAACATCCAAACATGGCCTGAAGGTGGGCATTATCCATTACCAAGATCTGTTTTCCCCATAATCATGACTTGGCATCATCCAAAAGATGGAAATTTTAATAAGGCAGTTTTGTATAGTATTGATGATTGCAAATAGTTTGCTTAACAATTTATCCCGTCAAATACAAATATATTAACGCTCAAACCACATGGATGGAACAAACAAATGTCATATGTTTTATGAAGATGAAACACAAATGTCCTCCAGGAGACCAGGATACACATGTTCGACAGCAGACAGATTTAGTGACAACTGACAAGCAATTGCTCTGCGACTTGCTTTCTTTTTCACTTTAACTAATAGAAAATAGTAAGTTCAGACAAAGCAAAACAACTATTCATACCCTGATAACTACAAAAACTTGAGCAGTAATATTGCAGAATTTAAATACTTGTGCAAGGATTCAACTCGAAGGTAGGGTCTTATCATTTACCAAGATCTGTTTTACCCCAAGAATCATTAATTGGCAGGGTGCAGAGGAAGGTAAATTCAATGAGGTGGTTTATATAATATTTGATGCATTGCAAATAATTTGCTCAACAATTTATCACGTGAAATACAAATATCATAAAGCTTGAGACAGATGGATTGAACTAAGAAGTGTAATCAGTTATTGAAAAGAAGAAACATGAATGTCCTCCAGGACACAGATTGCAAGGGCTTTACCTAGAAGCATGTAGGAAGTATTTGAAAACAACATATGAGCAAATTTCACTTTTGATTCGTCTATTTAATTACATTGGATTATATGCTTAATCTAGTTGCTTGCAATATGAAGCATCAGCTAATGGTAACAGAGATGTATCCAGAGCAACAAGTCGACACTTATAACTAATCCACTCAGCACATTCAAAGACAACATAACCCCATTGATTGTTAAATGTGGTGTAGGAATTTGAAAAAAAAAAACTCATCTCTTCCCCATGATCAATGCATAACCAACACACTAGAAGAAACACAAGAACTCAGGAGATACACTCAGTGCTTTTGAATTCAAATCTATGAGTGTAAAACATAAGCTACTTCCCACGACGGTGGAATTAACCAATACGGCGAATGTGCTATTCTAACATCACCAACCAAATCAACAGCCCCTTTCGAGAAATTCTCCTTGGTTTCGCAATCCACATGAACAGGACAAATTAACTCTCAATCGCAGTTACTTGCATCGGTCTGGACCTAACTGGATCGTGAAAGAAATATCCTCCAGGAGACAAATTGCAAGGGCATTACTTTTAAGCATGTAGGAAGTATCTGAAAACAACAAATGAGCAAAGTTTTTCCTTCGATTAGGTTATTTAACTACATTTTATTAAATGTTAGTCTAGTTGCTTGTGATTTGAAGTATCTGCTAACACTGAGCAACAAGTCGATACTTGCAACTAATAGACTTCACACATTCCATGACAACATGACCCCTATTGACTGCTGGAATGCCGTGTCAAAATTTAAAATCTCATCTCATCTTCGTCACTGATTCATAACCAACAAGTCTTGGCTTGGAATACTAGAAGAAACACTAGATAGAGCTCGTGAGATACATTCAGTGCCAATGATTTCAAATCTATTCATGTAAAACGATAAACTCAGTGACAATGATTTCAAATCTATAAAACCCACTGAAACAATAAGCGCAGGAGCAACAAGAGGGTCGGTGGTGAGGCTCACTTGGCGACGGGTTGGTGGTCGTGCCCGAACCGCTCGGCGGCGGCCTTGACGGCGTCGGGGGAGGCGGCGTGCGGCGCCGCCGAGAGGTCGGGCCCCGGGAGGTAGCCCCCATCGTGGAGCCGCCGCAGCAGCGCCCCCGCCTCCTCCTCCCACGGCTGCCTCGGCCTGGGCCTGGGCCCCCGCCGCGGCAGCTCGACGCCCGGGTCCGGCCGCGGTCGAGGCTTCGGGTTGCGGAACAGCGAGGAGAGCTTCGGCGGCGCCGCGGCGGCTGCGGCCGAGGAGGAGGTGGAGGTGGTGGTGGTGGTGGAGAGCCGGCGAGCGGCGGAGAGCGCCATGGGTTTATTAGGGTTCTTTGAAGTTCCGGGGATTAAGACGGGGAACCGAACTGTCGACGCTCGACGGGCGACGGCTAGTGGCGCCTAGGAACAGGCAAGACTCAAGAGGCGTAGTCTTGGGAAGCCGTCTTCAGAGGAGGGAACCTCTGTTTCACGGGCCCCACGTGGCAGTAGGTGCACAGTGAAGGAGACGCTCTCGGCTCTCCTCCCTGTTTCCGAGACCATCTTCTTCTTTTTTTTGAACTTGAGACCATCCTCACTTCCCCGTGAAGTCGTGATCTCACCGGTGGCCAGGGAGTTGGTTAAAGAACAGAGGATGGATCTATGGCTACATTCTTGACGTCCGATTCCGATTGGATTCGATCAAACAAGAAGTTTTGAGTTATATATTAGAACGTATGCAAACAAGAAAGTTTTGAATTTCATGAGGCATAACTTAAAATAATGATGAAATGGTTTAGAAGGTGTTTTTTTTCATATTTTGAAGAAGCCAATGAGGCCAAACTTGATAATGAATAATGACTTTTACAATTGATATGGTACTCTTTGATATCTGTTTAGAGTGCTCAATTCTTCTATAATAAGCAAGTAGTGGGGTTTAGTTCTCGGCGAGGCTTGCCTTTCATTACCTATCGAGGATGTGAAGTGATGGTGGATGTTTGGATGGCTTATTAAGGGTTTGTTTGTTTGACCTTTAAGCTTAAATTTGCAGGTTCTTGTCGGCACACCAAACCCAAGAAAAGCTACTCTCAAAGTGTTTTGTAACTTTTAGTTCATTTCCTTAGAAGCCAACTTTTTAGCTTTTTCAAAGCCAACTCAACAACTAGGTTGTTTGTTTCAACTTATGGCAAAAGCCTAAAACAACCCTAAAGCGTCTGGAGCCATATGTAGGCAAACTTTTTTGATTGTTTTTTCTTCATACTACGAACTAGCTAGATTGACTCGCTGGGCCTAGCAAATTTTTTAGGGTCTTCTAAAAACATAACGAACCTGTTTAGCAGCGAGTTCACCTATGACATACTACTTGTTCTCTTACATAATTTCTTAATGTTGCTGTAAATTTATAGTCATTTTCTTTTCTCTCTCTTCCACTCAATTAGAGCCCACCTACAATCCTATACTTGCTCTAATGAACCTGTTCAAGGTTGCGACTCTAATGAACCAAAGGCCGTGTCCACTATCCAGTGAGAAAGAAGCGCAAAGCTGAAGGGGACGTTGAGGATGTGCTTGTTGAGCCAGGTAGTGAGCAGAGGCGGCTAAGCTCAAAAGATTCATCTGGATTGCCCAAGTAATTAGTTTTTTATCTACATTTAATCCACTGTCAGCTGGGAGAGAGAATTTGAAGATCTAAACAAGGCAGGTAGTGAGCAGAGGCGGCTGCTGGTGCCCAAGTGGTGTACTACTCCACTGTCAGCTGGGCGACAGTGCCCTTCGCTGGCTGCTACTGCTACTGGACTACTGGAGCACAGGTTCAGAACAAACCGATGGAGACATAGGAAAATCACCACCACACCACACGTTTGTTTAACCTTAAGCGCCGACTGCAACGATGTGATGGCTACCTATAGCAACATTCCGAATGGAAGCTTTTCATGTCCTACTAGTTGGAGTAGTAGGTAGGCGCCGTCGGCAGAGCCGCAGCGCAGAATGAGTCCATCTTCTCTCAGGTCACGTTTAGATCCCATCTAAAATCCAAAAAAATTTAAGATTTTCTATCACATTAAATTTTACGGCACATGCATGAAGCATTAAATATAGATAAAAAGAATAACTAATTACACAGTTTACCTGTAATTGGCGAGACGAATCTTTTAAGTCTAAATAGTCTATAATTGAATATTTTTTGTCAAATACAAACGAAAGTGCTACAGTAGTCAAAAGCCAAAAAATTTCTCATCTAAACAGGCCTCATTCTCATGGAATCAGACAAGCTCTCTCATGGAACCAACCAGACAAGAAATTGAGCATGCTGCATCGTCCAAGGCACAGCAACTGCTCGAGACTAGACGTCCACATCCCGTTCTGTAGGATGTTTTGACGAGGTACTCTGTTCATCCAAAATGCATGTTTGCTCTCAAAGGAAGAGCAAGGTACAGTTTCATTTTTCTCGCGATTCAGACAAGCCGAAGCTAGCCACCGGAACCAGGCCTTCAGGGAAGACAGCTGCTGACTCTGAGCTACTAGATGTGTTTTTCAGTTTTAACAAATCACGCGGCTAAGTGTTTTTTTTTCTCGAATACTCAAAAGCTTTACGTATCATTGTATTAAGTAGAAGAGTTTAGATAAACATTCAACGCGCTTGTATCGAGCGCCGAAGAAGATCAATCTAACACAGCCGTAACTGGACTATCCTAGCAAGAGACCTCTAGATTCAATATTACGTTAAAGGAAACAACCAATACCGACACAACGGTGCGACCTAGGAGGTGGCCTTGCGTCCTCGCGGCTGCCTAGACCGAACAACAGGGAAGAGCTCGTCCAACGCTTCGGCTTCGGACGCAGTTAGGTCGCCGCCGAAGAGCTTGTCATAGGCCGCCAGCTCCGACGTGGATGGCGCTGATGGATCCTTGGTGAAACCCATACGCGGTATGATCAGCATCTCACCTCGCTTGGAAGCATGTACTCGAGAGAGGGGTTGAGCCGCCAACCGTCTGCTCCGCCATGGCATCACTGGCTTAGCAGGAGGCTACTTTGGAGGCTCACGAATTAGTGGAGAGTCCCTCTTACGCGTCACTTCGTTGGTGAAGCTATCAAGACGGTGTTTGGCGGAGTCGTCGTTGTCCTCGGTCGGGTGGGTATCCACCGACAGTGAAATAGGAGGGCCAGCGTCCACCATGAGGTTCGGTGAGTCCACTGCCCGGTGAATGGGGCGCGGAGGTGGTGTCCGCAACGCACAGGAGCCCACTGCCGCTGGGTCCTCATCCTCCAGCTGGGGGGCCGTCACTGCCGGGGCCTCATCTTGTAGTTTGGGGGCCACCGGAGGTGACAACCGACGCTCAAGAGAAGGCCACGCGACGATCCGACTACTGGCGAGCGAGGTTGTGAACTCCTCCGGCATCGGGTTCTCCGTGATGTCGCGACCATACGTGGCGTCCAGGTACAACATCAGTGTCAACAGGTCAGGCTAGATACTGCCCGTCTTGCTGGATTATGTACTGGTAGTAAGAAATTAGGTTCCACCTACTAAAATTTAGTCCCCATCACATCAAATGTTTGACACATTGTCGACACAGAATTTTTGTTCCGTGCCGAGGACACATGTAGCAAGCCGGAAGGGTCTGCTCGATGGAGCCATAGATCCGCCTAGTTTCAGCGCAGGGATGGTCGATCCTACGCACTCCTCCCGAGACGTGCCAGTCAATTTGACCCTGTAATTGACAATGAGAGAAAGTTTATTAGTAATTAAGGGCGGAACGTGCCGGTGTTGCCAGACAGTCCCAAATGTGCGGCTCTGAGAGCCGGTATGAAAGGAGATCGACTAAACAGTCGATTCCAGCATATTCGCAAGAATAAATCGGTTAAGTCTCATTGGGTTGTATAAGAAGAATCGGTTATCATTCAGGATAAATGTTATTATTCGAACAAATATTAATCAATGGCAATAAGATGTCAACAATGATTGGTTTATGATAAGCCAATGATTACAGGTAACCGAACCCCTTTCATATAAAGAAACAATTCAACACCACTTGACCGTTTAATAAAGGTAAATCTAATGAACATGTTAGATCTCATCTATCGCTATGACCAGTGAGACATGAGGCAGAATCATGCAGGCCGTAATACAATAATAAGATCATGGGGCTAACATATCTTTCAACCTATCTTTACTTCAACGGTCTCGTGATGCGAACTGTTCTTGAAAGCACTTGCTATCGGCTAAAACAGCCGATTCAGGCATAACGCACAGCTAAAGTCATGCTTATCAGGAATAGATCTATCAAATAACGATCCCCACTCCACGGTGCTAACAGTGGGGTGTGAGGCAGAATTACACAGGCCGTGATAACGGGCCATGGAACAGTTCTCGCTAGCCAATAAATCTACTCAAGACGCAACATGTTTTAACCACACGCTATGCACGATCAAGATTGATGTAAAACATCCGATAAAACGTAGCTCATCGTTTAACGTGTAGATTAGATCAGTTTTAGATTAACAAACGATGGGCTAAACAAGATATAAGGCCGATCTAGATCAATCCCAATCGGGCATAGTGATATTGCTGTAATTTAGATAAATAATGAAAGCAATAAGCAACATCGGTAACTTGATGAATCTACCAAAAACTGTCATTCTAAGGTAGAGCCGATAACTTGACCTTGATCTAGTTCATGCAGTGGGGGTCGATCGGATCGATGCAGCCATACTTGAACTAGGCAAGAATCGATAACTAACTTATATCAGAGTCGCAGTAGAGGTCGACCGGATCGATGCAGTCGTACGAACAGAGGTATAAGCCATGACGGTACTTACAACAAGCAGTGGAGGTCGACCGAATTGATGCAGCCGTACTTGCTGAAGAACTCGCCGAGATCTACTCTACTCCTACTCCTAAGGGTGGCCGGAACCGAAAAAGTAAATGACTTGTATATTGGATTGATTGTTGTCATTTACAATAGCCAGGGTTTGATATTTATACCCGGACCCTAAACATGAATCCTACTCGATCATGATTCGTTACAATCTTAGGTATAAAGGAAAACATTTCTAATTTAAGATAACTTGGACTCTAATCTTTCTCTTTTTGTAGAGTCCATCATGTCCCGTCCTGGCGTTGCTCGTATCCTTTGTCTTTATCTGTCGGCACTGTCTGAAGAAAGTCGATTCCAGTGCTGCATTCGAACCGGCTGATTTCGATCTGTACGCAATTGATTCTCTGCTGACATGATTTTGAGAGCTCTCGAGTCCCTGAGACCATTCTTCTAAATTTTGGTGTAAACACACATGTATGGAGTACTAAAAAAAGACTAATTACAAAATTAATTGCATAGATTAAA